CGGCGTATTGCTATCAGAGCTCCAGATCTATAAAATGCATGGCTTTGAAGTCTTGTAATAAGTCATTTGTGCCCTTTGACTCATAATAAATTCAATCAAAGAAAGGACTTTGGTTAAATGTTTGGCTCCAAGGGATCTTTTGCAGCAGCACAGACTGTATCAAACTCTGCTCTTCTTCAGTTGTCCATGCCTCTCAGTTGCACTTCTTTGTAGAGGAGTTTGGAGGTAAACCTGCAAAATATTAGTTGAAACAAGCTCTCCAGAAAGCAGATCTTTCCCACATCCTTCCCTGCAGTTCCTCTTTAAGAGGTGTCAGCATGGCTGAAAGAATGAAGTGGCTCTGCATTGTTTGCCTGAACTATTATGTGCTTAACATTTCCATGACAAAAGTGCCACTCGACTTCTCCCCGATTAATGCAGCTCGAGAGCTCTTGTCCCCCTTTAATAAAACGTTGTTGAAATCATTTATTTAGAGTCCCTGGTTACTAGTGGGAGAATGACCATCTTTGTGCCAAAATATAGTGTATACAGTCCACTATTTTGTAGTAGATCATTCCATTATTGGAGAAATTGATTAAATGGATGCCTTAGAAAGTATTTATGCTAATGGCACGTCATTCAGACAGTCAGTGTGAGGCTTTTCAAACTGTCTACCACAGCCAGTACCTCAAGTAAAATACAGTATGCCTGCATTCACACATGCCATTCTTTCAGCTACTGCTTCTTACCCTATGTTAACCTCCACATTAACTGTTTCACTTCTGTGGCAGCTGCAAATGCAGACCCATGAAGATTTACATCCGTGGAACTCCTTCGCTTACCTAACTCTGTATTCTTGTTTGGGGGCAGTAATTGCTTAGACTTTCTAACTGTCCCCCAGTCTGGTGTATATCAGCACTATTGGTCTGGAAGAAAAGAAGAGGTTGGGTTCCCACTCTTCATGAGCTGTTGCCCAAATTGCTCAGTAGCATTGCTGGATCACCAAGATGTGTCAGGTCCTATTTTAATATACAACTGCAGTTGCTGAAGTCCTGTTTGTATGGTGTGAGGGGATGCCTGACAGAGCAACCTCTGTCAGCTGAAGCACCAAGTTCAATTTTGAGAAGTCCTCCATGCCTGAAGGCAAAGGGGGAGGAGGCAAAGCCATCTAGGAAGACCCTTTAGCAGTTATAGGTGGCATATAAATATGTGCATAAAACAAAAACACAAGCCAGGACATGGTAGCTTAAAGCCCTTACTGCCAGTAACCACACTTTGGGAAAGGCATTTCAGCTTTTTAGAATCAGGAAAACTTGCACACGCACTGATTGGTGGTAGGGGGAAAGGAGGTGATGCTGGAGGAAAGGGCATGGTCATCTGGGTATTCCCCATAAGGCTGAACTGGGATCCCAAAAGGACCGGTATGGTTCCCCTGGTCTAATGGAAATTGCAGGAGTAAACCATTGGTAAAAATGTTACGACAGACACAGCCATACTTTGCTAAGGGGCATGTATTTTTTCATATATTTTCTGGTTGTAGGTGCTCCAGACACTAAGTTATTGATTTGTTTGGATATACATCAAGGATGAACGATATTGTTAGGTTCAAGGGTCAAAGAATCAGGACAGTTAGCATTTCTATAAGATGCAGTGGCTATGGTTTCCGAAATTTCGGGGAAACTCAAAATTTGCTTTCTGTGTGGAAACCTACCAAAGTAATATAGTTGTTTTGGAACACAGAACATATCTTGTGCCATATTGGGAGTGTGCGTTTGCAAGCAGTAAACATCATCTTATGACTTGGAAAGAAACTAACTAAAACTGTTGGTTTCACTTCTTTTCTCCCTCACTTTTTTAAAAGTATAGTGCTTTGTGTGGCTTTTGCAATTATTTTTCAGGTGATATGTGTCAGCCTATGTAGACTGGTATATATTGTTAAAAATAAACAGAGACCTTATGTTATGTCTATTGTGATTGTGTACAAAAGCCTCACAGTGCTCTTGGGTGATCAGTGAAGCTTGAATCTGCCTCTATTTACTGTATGGTCACTGTCAGTTCAATGAACTGCCTTCTTGTTCTCCACCATTGTTCCACACTCCCTTAAACATTTGTCACTGAAGTGCCTCCAAAGACAAATAAACTGTCACCGAGAATTCAAACCTGGTAACTGGGAAGGGGCACAAGGGACCCAGTGGATTATTTTACATGAAATTGAGGGTAGGGGCATTGAGAGAGAGGAGCAAGTGAGTGGGAGGGAAAGAGAAAGAGGTCTCTTTCCCCAGTTCATTTTGTCAGGGGTGGGCAAGACTCACCTGCTTGGCAGGGTGCAAATGAGTGGTGATGGCTTGGAACGAATGAAGGAGTCTTGCAAAGTCCATCAGAAAAACTGGAATACTTGTGACAACTGAACACAAGTCTCAGATATGTTTGGGGAGCATGAGAGGCAGTGTAATGAGTGTGCCCTTTCTGTGTGTAGACAATTCCTTCTTCGGAAGGGAAATGGAGAGAAACCTTTTCTCCAGTTATGCCCACAAGGTTATTAAAAGCTCTCTGCTTCTTACAGTGCAGCCATGCAGAGGTTTACTCAGAAGCAGGCATCACTCCCATGTAGACGTGCATAGGAATACAACTGTAATGTCATGCTGAGCATCTTCCCCAAAATGGTATTCTCTGTATTTTAGACTACAACCCCCATCATCCCTAGCCAGCTTGGGTAAGAATGATGGAGGTTGGAGTCTAAAGCATCTGGCAGGCACCAGGTTGGGGAAGCATTTTAGATTGATGAGGAAATGCTACAGATGTCAACATCTGTACCTGCAGAACAAACCCTGTGTAACATGCAAAGGTCCCATAGTACGAGGATGAATGTTATTGTGGATTCCACCTGAATATTAACTTCCCACTAACATTTATTCATTTTACAATATGAGTAACAGATGAAGCAAAGTTATGGCTTGGCCATGGGCTTGCCTTTCTACATTAGAACAATCCAGCATTATAAAGAATGGATCACACCCACCCAAGTGCATGGTGTCCATTTTTTCCAGGTAGCTGCTTTTGACAGGACCTCCTCAAATAAAATCCTGAGTTTACTGTAGCAGTTAATTATCTGTCCTTTTCTAGAATTAAAACATTTCCCCCTAAAACCATCATTTAATAATGGACTTAAAACTATTAGCATGGAATACCTGATACATGTAAAACTGTATTTAGAATGTAAGACAATTTAAGAAGGGAATGATTTAGGCTCATTCCAACATTTCAGCTTTGCTGTAGCATTTCTGTTCTTTTCAAATATTCAGGTAACTTCAGAAACAAATCTGGATCGTGTCTCATTTGTAGACCTTGATATTCCTGCTATCTTGGGCACTTTTTTTTTTTTTTTGGCTATTTTCTTAACATCTAAGGCAGGCCTGGGCATTGTACGGCCCACGGGCTACATCCGGCCCGATGGTTGACCCTGACTGGCCCTCACAAGGTCACTGGCAAATTAAAAGTCAATGCAAATATATATTGTCAAAATATAGATGCAAGCAATCAACTGCTTTTATTTTGAAGGATCTGCTAAATTGTATTGCTTTTCATGTAATGTTAATGTTTTTTGTGAATATTCATTAGATAGTGTTGTTCTGTGCTCCACATTTTCATTGTATCATTGTAATGTTTCATTTACTGTTTTTAGAGAGATATATATTGAGCAGAGCTGTAAGTGTATTGGTCCGGCCCTTAACAACTGTCAAAGTTTCTCATGTGGCCCCATAGGAAAATTGCCCACCCCTGATCCAGGGGATGATGACTCCCATATGGGAGATGAAGTCCAACACATCTAGAGAACACCAGGCTGAAGGAGGGAGATCTAGGATCTGACAAACTGATGGGAATATGAGCAAGTGATCTAAAGGAAATTGTAGTTATGATCCATCTGCTTGAAAGAACAGGTCATGCAAAAGGGAAATTACAATTTTGTTATTTGCTACTCAAAAATATCAAAGTTTTCTAAGAAAACATGACAGTCCTTACTGATCTTCCCTCCTCCTCAGTCAAAGTTTATTTGTTGTGGCTTTAATCTTCTGACTTGTCTTCCAATCACAGCATTGAAAGAGAAAAGTTTTAAATAAACAGCAGGGATACAAGATAAATAAACGTAAAAAAAAAGAAAAGAAAAAAGAAGCAAGTGCCTAGCTTGGCACAGTTCAAACTCAATCCCCTGGAGGACTGAGCTCTCTCTTTTGTGTTAATGTTTAAAAGATTTTCAAATGCCGGAGTTTATTCCTACTGCAAACATTTCTATTTACAAGGTCAAGTGTATCAGCACTCGAGACAGCTTAAGAGTGTAATTATTTATCTAAGGGCGTTTGAGTGTAGATCAGTAGCTCTGGCAGAACACCAGCCTTCAGGGGGCTGCAAAACAACTGCTCAGGCCAGTATCAGACAAGATCTTGTCACTGTGGATCATGCATGTGTCCCTTCCTCTTTCCTGTGGAAGAAGCTGAGGAGCTAGTTTGCAGAGTGTCTTTATTTCTGCAGCCAAAGCAAGCATTTAAGAGTATGTGACCTCTTTATATCCTGAAGGACTCCAGGCATGATACTCATGTACAAGCACAGGACTCCCTAAGATATTGGTATTAACAGCAATGCATTACTTCAAAGAGAACACTGGGGCACTGCATCACACTTCTGGAAAAAGACAAAAAGCATCACTGGAATTGGGTCTTCCCAGCTTTTATCCTGCCTCATTGCCATGCCGACACAGATTCATCTTTAAGTCTACTTTAGGTTTAACTTTTCAGTGCTGCATTATCCCTTCCAAGTAATTATTCCCTAAACTAAGATATCATAGTTGGCAATTCCGCCAGTGGCTCACATTCAGAAGAGCCCCACAGAATTCATGTGTTTATGCCAAAGTAACCTTCTGGAAGAATGTAGCCACACATAACTTGCATTTGTGTTCCATTCTGTTCTCATTTCCTCCAGTTATGGAATTCTCTCATGTGCAATGTCCCGAAAACAACTTCATTATATCCATTATTTAAAAATCTCTCTTTACTAATTTACACATAAAAAATACACAAGCAAATAGATACTTAAAACATAGGAACTTTTCACACATTCTATAAAAATGCAATGTTTAAGGCAGTTCAGAGAGACATTTATACAATTCTACAAAGTTCAGAAGTCTCTCAAAACAATATTGAAGTTAAGTTCAAATCTATAAAATACACTGTACATTTGATCTAGGATTTTTTCCATGGGAATTACAGTTGCTTGTATCCCTTTACATACCAAATGAGATCTGTACCTTTGCAACAAAAGAATAGCAGATGCATTTATTCCTGCAACTATGGTGCATTTTAAATCTTTTAAATTCTTAAAAAATAAATTACTCCCAAAGTATACAATTTATAAAATTCTATATACAAGCAAGAACAACTGGTAATAAATCCCAGTTTTAAATACATTTTATATAAGATTTACCAGAGGTTAGCCCCCTGATAGGATTAGAGGCAATATAACTTCTCAGGGTATTTTTACATACTGAGTTTCAAAAGTGTCTTTTGAAGATGGCAGTGCAGAGCTCTTTTAAGACAAAGGTTGCATTGTTCAATATAGGCAACAGGTCAGCATTTTTTCTTCTAGGTTGTAGCAAAAGAGACATTTGCTGGTGAGCTTTTGTACTTAGTGGTGCAAGGGCCACTTTGAACATTAAACAGAAAGACATCTTTGTAAAAAAAGGCTTGAAAACTGCACAGATCATCACATATATGTGTACACACGTGTTGTACTACTTATTTACACACTGGGAAACTACAACTTGGTGTAGCTTCTTAGCATATGCAAGTAAATCAGAAAGCAGATGTGACAACCTACAGAGTTTTCATGCCTTATTCTACGTTAAAGTTACTCCTATGTAGGAATGTTCAAAGCAACCCTGAGAAAAGTTGCTGAAACATTCTCTCTCTCTCTCTCTCTCTCTCTCTCTCTCTCTCTCTCTCTCTCTCTCACACACACACACACACACACACACACACACACACCACATCAGAACTGCATCTTCTTTCAGGCTGAGAATGTTGACCCAGGGTGACAGATGGACTCCATTTCAAATTGCTGACTAGTTCTGTAAGGCAATTTTTGGAGGCACTCTAGGGAAACCTAAACATTTCTTTCCTTCATGTCATCAACTCAAACACAAAAACCATTTGCATCTATTTTCAAGTTGACCTTCCCATGTAGCAGTAAACCTTCAGTATTCTTTTTGACTCATTTGCTCATTGCTAAATAACCCAAGTGGAAACAATTGCATAGTGCACACTGAGGGCTGTTTTCAAACATATATTCCCTACATGGATGTGTGCAGGTGCATGGCGGAAGACCCAGGCACACTGTCGGGTGCAAACACTTTACTGAAAGGACATGCTTGGAGATGCAATTTGCAGTGGATGTACACTCAGCAAAATCCACGTGGCACCATGTGTAGATCATTTCAAACTACTAGGTAAAGAAAATGTAATGTGTGAAGCAGACCTTAAGGCTTTCTTCTAGATCATTGCTAGTTTTTAAAAACTGAACCTAATACAATGGTACCATCCCTTTTAAATAGGATTCCTAAAGTAGGAGCAGGAAAAAAAGCGAAACAAAAGCCCAATCAGATATAGTTAGGGGAGAGACTCAAACAGAAGGAAAGGTTATCCAAAGAGCAAAGAAATGTCTCAGGATTCACCAAAGGGTTGAACCTCCACTGAACTGACGGGGCAAGGCAAGAGGCTCAAACGAATGATTCATCTAGGGTTGTACAATCACACGGAGGGCCTATCAGACTGTTTCGCGTTATTTCACTTTATGCACGCGGCAAATTCATTCCGGAGTAAGGCACGCTGTTTTAAAGCATTGGCTGCGCGGGGTACAGGAGCGGTATTTCCTCATCTTACACGAAATGGGTGGGGAAGGCTAGGAGTCCCTCGTCTATCCAGCACCGAGGCCCTGCGTGACGGTCTTCTGGTCCAGTGCCCGCATCCCCGGAGAGCAGGAAACTGGGGCAGGCCTTCCGCGCACGCCCGGGCCCCTTTGCCGGCCCGGGCAGCCTCCCTCCCTCCATGGCCCTATCCTAGCGAGGCCTTCACGAGCCCCTAAAGAGCGACTACTGGGGGTGGGAAATGGCTACGAGAGCAGCAGCAGCAGCAAAATGGAGGCGGTCGAGAGAAGCGTCCAGGGCGCAGCGGCTGGGGCCGAGCAGCCGTCGCCGGGCCTTCTAGGAAAGGCAGCTTCGGCTCCCGCGCCGGCTACAGCCGCCACGTCGTCGAGCTCGTCCTTGCCGCGGTGGCTGGGCTCGTCCTCGTAATCCTCATCGTAGTAGTCGTCGATGGCGCCGTCCGAGGCACCGCTGCTGCCGGGGCCGACGATGTCGCCCCCGAAGCAGAGGCGGGCCATGTTCTCCTTGACCGACTCGCAGATGGGCCGCTCGAGGCCGTCGCACACGCAGTCGTTCAGCAGCATCGCCTTGGGCACGGCCAGCATGTCATCGATGACGGCGCGGCACTGCTCGGTGCAGCGCAGGCCGTTGAAGAGCTTCCCGCAGTAGGCCATGTAGCGGCTCAGCGCTAGGCTGCACCCGCTGTCCCAATCGCAGCGCCGCCGCGCCTCCGTGCAGCCGATCACGCCGCCGGCCGCCGCCCCACCTCCGCCCCCGCCCCCCGCGCCGCCGCTAGTCCGAGGCAAGCACGGCTCGATGGCGCGCTTGGTGGCTCGGCAGTTCTCGTCCTGGTCGCAGTCGCAGTCCTCCAGCGCCGGGCCCCGCCTGGTGTGGTTGAGCTGGATGAGCGCCGAGATGCAGTGGCTCGGGCATCGCCGCCTATTGGAGAAGGTCGCCGCCGCGGCCGCAGCCGCCGCTACAGAGCCGTCCCCCGCAGCCCGGAGCACCGGCGCGCACGCCTCCGTGTACTGGCTGTACGCGTAGCCGCAGTCGGCCTCTTCCTGGCACTGCAGCATCGCCTGCCAGCAGATGAGGCGCCGGCCTTGAGCCCCCGGCGGCGGAGGGGAAGCGGCGCCCATGAGCAGCAGCAGCAGCAGCCTCAGTCCCGCGGCGTCCGGCAGCGGCAGCGGCGCGCCTCGCCAGGAGCCTCGTCCTCCACGCCAGGCTGCCACCATCGCGGGCGGCGGGACAGTCGGGGGCGGGAGGCGAACGACGCGGAAACGGCGGAGGCAGCCGGGATGGGGGAGGCGGCGCGGCGGCTGCCGCCGGTGGTGGGAAAGTTAGCCAAAGTCCTGCCAAGTGTGTGCATGAGGGTCCCCCTCATCAATCCATCCGCGCGGCGCCCTCTCCTCGGCCTGCGTTATCCTGCCTTCCCCCGAGAAAACGGCGGCTTCTTCTTCGGGCAGCACAACAGCCTCAGCCTCCGCCCCCTGCGCCCGGGCTGGGAGGCCGTGAGACGGTCACTGGAGCCTGGGGATGGGGGGCGAGGGGTGTCCTGCCGAGCTCATGCTGCTGCTGCCGCGGCGGCTGCTCGGCCGCTTCTCATGCCGATCTTCTTTCTTCGCCTTCAGCGCTCGGCGGGCAGCGTCTCCGCCGCACATGCCAAATCGCTGCCCGTGCCTCCTGCGGCAGCCGCAGCGCCCAGCCGGATTCCGAGTGCGCGCGGCCACGGCGAGCCTCCTTCTCCCTTTCGGCGAGCAGCAGGCAGCATAAGAAAAGGCAGCCGGGCTGCAGGAGCTCGCTTTCTCTTCCCTCCCCTCCTGATGCAGCTTCTGCTGCCGACGAGCCGCCGTTTCTCCCTGCGGATCCTTCTGGGGAGCTGTTTTCTTTCGCGAGGCTTTAAATACAAAAGTGCCCTCCAAGCAGCAGCAGCAGCAGCGTGCTCTGATCAGGCCTCATTATGCATGCATGGAAAAGCAAACAAACAAAAAAAATTAGCAACGCTTCTTCTCCTTTTACACATCCCCCCGCCACCCCTCAGCTTGAGTTCTCTGGCTCTTTCTCCTTTTCTCCACTTTTTTCTGTCTCCCGTTGCTCGGCCCCTTTTCCCAGCTTTGCGACTTGCGATTGGTCCGTCCTGTTGTTGAAACTCCCCCCGCACTTCTCTCCCTCCTTTCTTTACGATCTGCTGGAGAAAGGGGGAGGGTTGAAAGCGGGGAGGGGGGCGCTAGTGGGCAGCTCACATTCAAAGCTTGAAAGGAAAGGCTTAAAGAGATTGACAGCAGCCCCCGAGGAGCCCCTCCTCCTATTAAGGAGGCTCTTCCACGCAGCTCGCTGCACTGCCTAGAAAGAAAGAAAAAGAAACCAGAAAGAAACTTTCCGGTTGTTTGCGACAGGCAAAAGGTTTGCTCTTCGGTGTACGTTTTCTAGCAGGTTAGGACCAAATGGCCCTAGAAAATTTTCCCCGTGCGATGGAACCTTGAGATAAAGAAAAGGTGAACATACTGACCGTAATTAATGTAGGTATACACTTGTTGATACTGGATAATTTCTGCAAAAGTGGATCACTGTGCAGCAGCCCAACAGGGAGCTGAAAGTGTGAGCTGCTTAGGGGGAACTGGTTGGGCAGACGTTTCTTAGAGATACGAGGGAACCTTTGAAGTGTCCAGGGATTGCTTCCACCTCCGCTTAATTCTCCTGAAGAGCAACCTGTCCCCTTAAACTCTAGGATAATGCAAGATTCGGAATTCCGCGGCCACAGCATCTCTGGGAGCTCGCTTGCCTTCTGCTTTACACATTGAACATACTGATAGGCGTGACACTTTTGTATCGTCAGGAACCGAAGTATATGGGGACCAGCCAAGGAGATCCAGTATTTAGAGGCTGGGTTGGAGCCAGATTTGGTCTAGAACTTGACAGTAGATCAAGTATCTGGTTGAAATCACCAGGGCTCTTGTTAAATTATGCTTTTGTTCCATTGATTTCAAGGAGCTACTCTTATATATGGCTAAAACTGCATACAACCTACTATCTAGAAAGGTGTATTATTTGGGATGTCTTAATGTTGACTTGACATTCACTCTTTACACTGGCCTTGTTAGGAATGGAAAGCAAATAATGTGTTTTGAAATCTGTGGCAAGGCTGAGAAGAATTTAAGAAGGAAATAAACCAAGTTCTCATGCATTGCATTCATGTTGCATGAAGAAGGCAGTGGATAAAATAAACACTGTTACAATAAAACAGACAAGGATATTAAGAGAGGATCCTACAAAGGATCTGATAGTGCAACTGAAACTTGCTTTGCTTTGTTTTCATTTTCGTGCTACCTTAATTTTTATGTTGTGCAGCGCGTTGACCACAAGGGGCATTGGCGTTTGCTACCTGTCAGAGTCACACTTTTCCACCAGGAAACTATCAACTGTGTCATAAAATCAGGAGTAAAGCTGTTTTCCAGAACCAAAGGGGCCTGGATTTGTGGGATAAACATTGTCTTGAAATCTTACATTAGTCTAGAATTGTCCAGCAATTAAGAGTCATTCTGACAAAGCATTCCCAGAAAACACGCACCTCATTCTGTATCTGTTTTTGCATTCAGAAGATGATTTACACACTGGCAGATTTTCCTGGATGCTCCCACATGGATAGACCTTACCTGATACACAATGTTCAACAAAGCCTCTTCTGACTTGACACCTTCTAATGAATCAGACTACAAGTTCTATCATCCCCAGCCCATGTTTCCACATGGGTGGATGTTACCTGATGCCCAATATTCAATGCAGCCTTCCCAAAAGGATGCCCACCAAATGAGTTGGACTACAACTTCCCTCACCCCACCCCAACTCATCAAGAAGCTACTCTGTTGGGGAAAGCTTTTTTAGGGACTTCCACTTTTACATGTATTTCCTGTGCACAAAGCATTTTTGTCTAGGAGATACTGCTCAAGTGGAATACACAACATGTAATGCCATCTCCTGTGTTTATATTCCACAGCATCTAAATGCATGTGAATGAAATGCAATGCTGCCTTCTCGTCTGTGGTCCTTTTTTGTGATGTTTACCTTTCAGCCATTCTCAGAGAAGCTCAGAACTGCACACCTAGTTCTTCCACTCTCCACTGTATCCTCATAACAATTGTGCGAGGTAGTTTAGGATGAGCATGGCCTGAGGTTACCCAGATAACTTCCTGACCAAGCCAGTTGCTGAATGGAGATCTCCCTTGGCTTGGTTCAACAACTTGGCAATCAGGTCACTCATCCTTAAAGAGATAAAATAGACCACTCAGTGGATATCCAGGCTGAAGCCTAAGTTCCTGCAGCTTGGGGAGTCCAGATGACCACCCAGAGAATAACAAGTGATGGGGGTAAACAGGTCTAGTGTCAGAACATTTTATTCATTCATTTAAATTTTATCCCCCAAGTACCACCTTCTGGAGCTAGGAGGAGCAGAACTACTCCCGACTCAGTCAGCCACTCCAAAAGGATACGGTTGTGAGCAGGTTTCTCCCTCCCTCTTTTTCTCTCTGGCAGATGAAACCTGAGAAACACAGTTCTATTAAAATTTAACAAGTGATAAAACACTATAAATCAAAGTAGTGTTCTCTCTGAGATGTGGCAGAAGCATCTGTCCATGTAAGGATTTGAATCCAGACTGAAACACCCTCTCTTTTCCTTTCTTTTTGTAAAGCTTCTGACTCCACACTTAGGGTGTCACTTGCTGTTTGAGGCCTAGACAGTGGGAATGCTGGGCACTTCTTAATTGGTCTACTTGCTTTACCTGTCTTCTCCTGAGTGGGTCAAGCCCCCTGCATTTGCTTGCCCTCCCGCTCTGAAAAGTCTCCCTTCTTTTCCAAGTAGGGCTGATTCTCACACTTTTCCCGAAATTCTTCTACAGGTAACTTTGAAACTGCCTTTGCACCCATTTGTTCTTCAGCCGCCTCCTCAAAATTGGACAAATCTATCTGAGCAGATTGTAATTTGGAAGGGCAGAATCCCCCTCTACAGATACTGTGGTCAATGGTATAGAAAGATGCCAAAAGATCTAGGAGGGGCACAGGACTCCCTGTCTCTTTCCTGATTTACAGGATGACCAAAGCTGATTCCATGGCAAAACCTGGCCTGAGCCCCGACTAAAGTAGATCTAGATAACTGATCTCATCCAAGAGTGCCCAGAGCTGGTTAGCCACCTCCCATTCAAGGACCTTGCCCAGGAAAGGGTTATTTGCCACCAGCCTAAAGTTACTGAGATCTTCCATGTCCAGAGAAGAGAATCTTTCTTCACAAGCAGCTTTACCACAACCTGTTTCAGGTGGCATGTGACCACTCCTTCTCATAAAGAGGCATTGATCACTTGCCTGGCCTGGCTCAGCTGTTCCCTCCTTGCTAGCTTTGTAAGCCAGCAGGGACAAGGATCCAGTACAGATGTGTTTGTACAAACCTATCCAAGCGCCTTGTCAACATCCTTCAGTTTTACTAACTGGAACTCATTCCAGTAAACTCGACCAGGCTGCGTTCTGCTACCTTGCCAGATTCAAGTGCCATAACATTGAAGCCCCCAAGGGACCAAGCGATTTTATTCTGGAAGTTCCTAGAAAATATATTGCAGGAAGCCTCACACATCTTTAAGAACTCTTTGAGGCCAGCGTGCAATAAGCTCTCCTGGATGACAAAGGGTATTGCTTCTTTTCTGCTTGCACTGCCCCCAGATATTCTTGACTATAGACACATATCAGGGTTGTCTTGTACCCACTAGTTTTTCTCCAGCTGCATTCAAACGGTCTCCTGTTTGTTCATCGCTCTCAGCTCCAGGCTATACCACAGAACCTGAAGGAGAGGCAGAATTCCTATAAACCATAGCAACACCCTCCCTGCTAGCTCTCCAGTCTACCCTGATGTTGTACCACATACGCTGGTGGGCATAGCTGGCAGAGGCTAAGACCTTCCTGTTCACGTATAATCCAGGTCTTAGTTATACATGCCAAATTAGCTGTCTCCTCCAATTGTGGGTAAGGGGGTTCTTATTCTGCACTGATCTGACACTGAAAAGCAGAATCTGAAGAACTGGGACAGGCTGACAGGGCTGGCTCTCACCCAGACCTGCACTTGCAAGGAGGGTCAAGGCACAGAACATCATTAATTCCCCCTACCTGGTGAGCCCTCCACCTGATCCCATATCTCCTTCTATCCATCACCACACTAATTGGCCCCACCACAAGTCCCTCCACTTGGTCCCATAACTTCACTTCTTGGCACAGAACCAGGCCCTAAGAAGCAGGATCGTCATACCTAGAATTGGGATAAAACTCCA